GTAGATATATGTGTATATATACATACAGATAGATAGAGTAGCTTTCAGAAGATGATTGAGTATGGAAGCACACAGGAGCCAGCAAAGGGCGAGGCGCCGGCGCCAAGCCCGGGAATTCGCAGCCATAGCCTGGCATCGGCGCAGCAGAAGGCCTGCTGAAAGCCTGAAAGCACAATTCTGGGAGTTGGTACTGAAATTTTCGAAGAGCCAACAGGGCCTACAATGCTTGGCTGATGGCATTCCGCCAGGAGGCACTGCTTTTTCGTTTTCATTGCCACACAGAGGCTTCACACTTTGTTGGCACCAGGCGTTCGCACGGCGGGCGCGGNNCGCCCATTTCCAGGCCGAAACTGCTTGGAAACTGCTTTGAGCTTTGGGTTGGCTTTGAGATCAGGCGTGGGTGGCCCAGTGGCACGAAGATCGCCAGGTGAGATCCGGCTTCCACGAAGTTTGATTTTGACGCAGAGGGACCTCCTTCGAACTTGCAGGAGGCTGCCTTGCTCAAGCTGTCCGTCCTCTGCCTGCGGAAGCGGAGCCTGGAGCTTATAGGAACTGGGAGGGGCTGCTTTGTTTACTATTTCTAGTGTTATTGTTACAATTGCTATATTAAGTTACTATCACAACTATCCTTTCTATTAGTACTACTATTGCTATTGCTGTTGCTGTTTTGTGTTCTTTCAGGCTTGCAAAGTGGCCTGCGTGCTCTCCGGTCACACGCCACCTAGCCGCAAGCAGCAAGGGTCCCTCGACCCATTTAAAAGAGCCCATGAAGGAAGTGGCCCACCACAGCTTTGGCCAGAAGTACCGTAAATGGTAGTTTTCCCAAAATAGGGGGGACCCCAATATAGACCCCCAAATGTTATATACTCCTTATTATGGGGACCCCTAAAATAGTGTCCCCTAATTTTGGGAACCGCCCAAATACATAATTGAAAAGAAGTGTAGAAAACTATGTGGGCCAGCTCCACTCAGACCAGTCTTTGGTTTGTTGCAACCCTAGATAGTTTGAGCCAAATACCTTGGAGTTGTGCCCTGCGGAAAGCTGGCAAAAAGCAGGAACTTACTAAGGGGTTAGTAGGGAATACGGGAAGATGTTGTCTAGGGATTCAGATTATACAGGGACTACCTTTGCTTATCCCCTACGAAGCGAGAAGGTGTTCATGAGGTCACCACCACCAGGCGTGACAGCTCGTGGCTGTACAGCCAGCGCTCCCAAGCTTAGTGGTTCTTACAGTAGTAGGGACTAACTACTATACTGGACAATCAAATGCAAACGGGCATGGAGCATGAAATGGACTTATGCAGAGATATGTAAGGGAATGGAAAAGAAAAAGTAACCCAATGGGCTTATACCGGGGCCCATTCCTTCATTTCCTGGCAGCCAGTGAGCAACCAGACCGGCGAGAGAACAAGTCAGCGAGCTACAGAGCCAGTACTGACAAGCCCTGGTTACAGGAAACTAATTCACATGGACTTCTTTTTTGGTGTATTCTGATCACCTGAGGAACAGTGGCAAAGATAGCACCTATAAGGCTTTAAGGCTGCCACGATGAAAAGGATGTTTGGCTGCTGTCAGAACGACAGTCATGGCTACTACTGTACCAGTCATGCTTCAGCAGGCAGCTGTCATGGTCTCGGGCCCAGGTGCGGCGCGAAGTGTGGCGGCGAGAGCGGCTCAAGGCATTGGCAGATTCACTCGACTTCTCATAGTTCTGGCAGTATACGGCCTGAAACGAGACCCATAGGTTTCAGAAGCTCTTTCTGTGGCCTTCAGCAGAAGATTCACGCAGAGCAGTGGTGGTCCTGAAAGGTGCGGGAGGCAGAGGCTGCAGCTCGCCGACAGACCCTGGAGGTAGGGTTTGAGGTATCATGGGTTAAAGGGTTATAATCCCTACATGACTTATAGTCTAAACTCCTTAAAGGGAGTTATATAGGAGATTATATGGGGGTGCCATTATGATTGGGGCTTATTGAGGGGGATGCTAGGAGTTGAGACTATAGTACACACAATCATTATAGAATCCCTTTGGTATTTTGCAGTTTCCATTTCATGTGTTCAGCTGGATAGGGCCCCTAAAATCTAATCTAGTGGGCTGCAGGCTCCAGAATTGTTCAATATTGGAAGATCAAATACAAAAGCTTGCGGAAAATGAAATGGAAACTACAATATATTGGGAGTACAGGGACATTACTAGTGTCCTGGAGTAATGGAGAATCGAATGGAAAATCAAACGGAAAAAGACAGGGAAGCGGGACAGCGACGGGTGCATAGCCATTGGGGCTGCCAAATTGTAGTGCTTTTCAGGGAGAAACCCTATACTGACTACTGTGGCAATACCATTTTGGAGAGCTTAAAAGTCCGCAAACTGCGAGTCTTCCCAGACTCCCTAAAGGATCCAAAAAATGGAGCCCCCTAACAACCCTCTAGTTTCCCCAATGTAGACTTGGGAATCATTTTGGGGGGTTCCAGAATTTTGGATCCTTTAGGGGGTCTGGGTTTGGTGCGGGTGACATCCTTTGCTCCCCGCCAGGTGACTTGGGCGGCCCTGGTGAGGTACACCGAACAGCAACAGCTGATGAAGCTGCGCCCACCCTGTTGTCGGCACACTCCAGTTGCTAGTTTCCATAAATAGGGGGACCCCAACAATACTTAACCAGCAATATGGAACCCAAAGGATTCTAACTCTAATCCTGATTATTAGGACCCCTAGTTATGGGAAACCCCCAGTTTGCATGGGTCGGGCGAATCCTCCTCGCAGGTACCAGAGCTGGGCAGATGTCCACCGATTGCGGGCCAAGCTGGAATCAGCATGGCAGGCCTGGGGTATCATTACTATTATTACTACTGTTTAGGGTTTACAGTTTAGGGTTCAGGGTTTAGGGTTATTACTATTACTATTGCTATGATTTTATGAGTATTGCGAGTATTTCCGTTATGGTGACTACTTTTACTAGTGTGTAGGTCCTTCTGAGCGCATACAGTTTCTCTGCCCGGAAGGCATGGCTTGCCTGGTTCCGGAAGCGGGGGAAGGCTGGCAAATTGTGCTAAAGCCACACCGCAGTACTGCTTTGCTGCTTTGTTGTCACATGAGCTGGGATCTAAACTCCTTGGAGGGGGGTCTATGGGGGATTACATAGGGGATAATCATGCGGGGTATGTAGGGGGATGCTGGGAGTTTAGACTATAACCCCTATGATACCCGATAAAATCACAGTTTCCATGTCATTTTCCATATTCTATTCCATTTGATTCTCTATTATTGGGGTAACATCTCTATGTGTCCATACGCACCCCTTTATATCCCTATATATCCCTATGTACCCCTTTAAGAGGAGTTTAGACTATAGCTCACAATGCTTGCAGGTAGTTGCCATGGCCAATGCACCGCAGCTGCTGGCGGCCTGGCGCTGGCTTCGGGTTCATGGAGCTCGCTCGCGGCATGGACGAAGGCTCTGAGGGACTTCTAAGCCCTGTAGTCATCCTTAAATAGATAAAATATAGTTTTGGGTATATTATACTAATATGACCCCCATATGCATCTTTCCATTAATTGGGGGTCAGGAGTTCATGAAGAAAAACATGTTTGACCCCTCCGGTACATACCTCGATACATACCACCACAACGTCCCTTTCCTCAAGAGCCCAGTACTGCAAAACTTACCCCGAAACATACCCCGAAACATACTCCAAGCCAAACATGCTTTTTGTTACCACAGTTTAGCCTGAAGCTCCCATATACCCCATATTCTATCTACTTAAGGGGGACTATAAACCTATGAACCTTTGCACAGCTGGTTGGTGGCTTGGTCGTAAAGTGGCAAGTACATGCAAAGCCACACCCTGGCTACTGTATGGTAGCTTCCCAAAATAGGGTGACCCCACGATAGATCCCAAATTACTACGGTCCTTATTACAGGGACCTCTAAAGAGATATCCCTGTTCCCTTGGTGGAAAATTACATTGGGCTATCTGGATCCCTAGGGAACCCCTTATCTCTACTAGAAACCACTTGCTAAAGCCAGGCCGCACGTGGTCGGGGAAGCTCCATGGCCCGCGCCTTTTGGGTGGACTCGGATCCCATGGGAGTCCAATATTCGCGATGTAAAACGGTGAGCGCAAGTACGTACTACTACCTGAAAAGTATGTAGAATCTTGGTCTTGTTGGCTTATTCTATGGGTTTCGGGCAAAAAGCGAACATAATTTTGATGTCCAGGTACGGCTTACAACTGCTACCACCCAGGCAAAAGGCGGCCTCCGAACTTCTCCTGGGTTCGGCCCCCTTCGACATTCACCCACACCACATGCAGGCAGCTGAATAAAGTTGCATGGAAGGATAGCTTTGCAGGTGGGGGTATGACCTCTTTGGAAGAAAGGCAATCCCAACTGTACGGCGCAGTCTTCAGGCTATGCAGAATGGCCTGCTGGCGCTTTTTGCCAGCGCGCTGCTGAAGAAGATCATGCATTGCTGGATTACACAGGCTGTACCACCAGAGAAATGGTGTTTGTGGGAGATTCTCTGTACGGAGGTTCATGAGATCCAAGATCTCCTCCTGCGGGCTCAGCAAGTAGGGGTGCGACGGTGCCTTCGTGCTTGGAAGGCTGCAAGCTCTGCTGTTATAGGAGCTATAGTCTAGACTCCCTATAGGGCGGTTATATAGGGAATCATATACGGGACTACTATTGGGGTTATGAAGGGGAATACTAGGAGTTTAGACTGTAGCTCACAAGATGATACAAGATGTGTTGGACGCTAGCACGCGAGGAGAAGTTCTTGCATGCAGGCTCGTGCGCTTTGCCGACATAGATCTGCGCAATACCAGGACAATGCCATAGCCCAAGTCTGGAGAGAACCACACTGAAATATTGCAATCGTTAGTATTCCTATTAGTTCTATATGAATATGTGTTCTTACTCATTAGACCAATATACAAATGCTTAGTCTTACCTCATTACTACTGTTTGTATACTGCGAAGTCAGCCAGACTCAGGTTGCAGAGGCTCGGCGTCGAGACCAGGAGTTGTTTCTTCAATGGAAGCCTGGGTCTCAAGACAAAATCGATGTTTTCCAATCCAAACGGTTTAGGGTTGAAAAGGGTTTATATGGTCAACAACATCCAATTGAAAGGGTCTAGGGTTTAAGGCTTTAGGGTCTAGGGTCAATAACATCCAATTCGCATGGTTTAGGGTTTAAGGGTTAAGAGTCATCCAGACTCTGCAGATGTCTGCTGGCTGAGGCAGTCCTGGGGCGTGCAGCTCCTGATGGGCTGGGCGGAGGTTGGCCCAGAGCATCTGAGATTCAAGAGTTGCGACAGCAATGGCAATAAGAACAGTATTCATAATATTAACAATCGTAGTACTAATGCTTGTAGTAGGGGTAATACTGGTAATAATAGTAAGTAAGAATAATGATGATAGTAACAGTATTAATATGGGGAACAGTCGTACGGATAGGAATAGAATAATAAGCGTTCACGGCTGCCATGGCTTCAAGTTTCTTTCCAGGCCGCCCGATCCTCGGCTGTGCAGGTGCAGTACCGGGCAAAAGGGAGCGCTGCAAGAACTGACGGTGAAAGCATGCGACAGGAGACGCGCCAAGTGCTACAGGCCACCTGCCTTACTTACCATTGTTACTATCGATAGTACTACTATCATTCTTATGAATATTATTACTATTAGAAGAGTGTTCAGGAGGTTCTTGCGGTCGACTGCATGGGGCCTTGCAATGGAGAAAGTCTGGCGTCACCGATTGCACAAGCCCGGATGCAGGCGGATGATATTCGGCGGCGCTCCCGCCGAAAGGTGCGCCAACAGCTATGGAAGTAGCGGCGGCAGAGAAAGGGATTGCCTGGTGCTTTTTCGGCAGGGCATCCGCTGCACCCTTGGAAATGTACCACAGCATCACGCGGTTGGTCATCTGCTTGTTCTGAATATACATTGTCCTCTACATTCACCGTTCCTCAAGTGGCGACAGATTGAGATGCCCAGAAGTCAGCCTGCAGCAGGCAGCTTACAGCGCCTTTGCCGCCTGGCGTGCGGCAGCTCGGCTGCTGCGAGAGGCGGCCAGGGCTGCCCGCATGCGCAAGGCCCGGTGGGTGGCAAATAGTAATAGTGGTTCTAGGTAGTTGTAGTAGTTCTGCGAAGGCGGTAGGCACTGTAGGAGTCAGAAGTAGTGACAGTGATAATGATGGCAATCACAAGCATCATGCCACGGGCTTCCGCAGCGATAGAGCGAGTCCAATCGTATATCAGAAAAAAAGATAGATGTCGATCCAACTCCTTTGCAGCAAGCCATTGTCAACGATGGTCTGAGAACATGCCGCGATGCCCTCCCCCTGGATCAGCCCGCCCCTCGTTACATAGGGTATGGATGATACTTGGAGGCCAAGCAATGGCATGCTTTTTGGGCATACGACTTTGAGTTGGGTATCTCTGTGCCAGTGTAAGAGCAGCTGGCAATGAGAGTTCATTCGGCTTGAATGAGCCCTCCTTCAATGACGTTGCCAAGCATTGCCAAGCACAACTATCAAAGATGCTCGTGGTGAACCAGCGGTGGTCAAGCCATTGGTTGCGGAAGCTTGAACAAATTGCTGGCTGCTGCGACAGCGATGACGGAAAGTTCGCAGCTATGTTCACTTAATTTGATCCTTGCATAGAGTAAGCAACATTTTCGAACGATGGAGCTGATCTGTCGTGACTGTCGTGAGATTTACAACGTGCACATTGCCTCCTTCCCTTGAAGCTTCATTGCGACAAGCCCACAAACCTGATTATAAATCCTGAACCCTACGAGGGGCCTCGCTCAGTTGATTTTCTTGCTGTTTGCCTTGGCTATTCCTTGGGCCCATACCTCGAAACAGTTCCCGTGCTGATCAACAAGCTCTCTGAGTTGAGTGGGGTACTGGTTTAGGGTTCAGGGTTTAGGGTAAGGATATCCTAAATCCTTGACCCTGTCCAAAAGCATTGGATTTGTGTGTGACAGGTGTTCACAAGCTGGCACCTGGCTGTGCAGGAGCAGGCGTTGCTCCAGAAGTGCGCCACTGTCTGCTATGAACCTCACTTGCTCTGAAAGTCATGATTCTTTGTGGGTAGCATTATCATTATTGCTAGTATTGTGATTATTGCCATCATGATTCTTATTACTGTTGCTACCTGCTAGTCCTATTATTCTTGTTATTGCCATTATCTCTGATTCGTTGTTAAGCATTTCCACGTTTGAGCAGTCTTTTCCAGAGGAGAGCACTGTCGGGTACTGTTGTTGTGGAAGAGGTACCTGCAAGAGTGTGCGGCGGTGACCCTGCAGGCCCCAAGCACATGAGCTACAGTCTAAGCTCCTTAAAAGGGGTTATATAGCAGAGCATTATAGGGGTTATCAGGGGGTTACCAGAAGTTTAGAACCCTATAAACCCTAAATCCTATACCCTATACTAGGAATCATTTAGGGGGATACTAGGAGTTCAGACTATAGCTCACATGATTTGGTCAGGCTTAGGACGGTGGTTGACATCGCAGGGGGCTGACCAAAGACAGCGGCCAACAACAGTTGGGCACAGACCTCGGCATGGAAAACTCACTGGTTCTTAGCAGGGAAGAAGGGAATTTCTTATATAGGGTTTATATGGGGGATTATAACCTTAAACCCTGAATTATGAGAACCAGTAAGAAAAGAGTATATATTATCTTAGGGATTATATGGGGGATTGTAACCCTAAAGCCTATATTAGAAGACCCGTATATTAATGTTAAGTATAGGGATTATCTTCCATTATTCCCAACTGAGAACCCGTAAGAAAAGTATGCCCACCACTGCAAGAAGCTTCGCGTGTTCAAGGCCCGCAGACCTGGAGCAAGTCTATCGGGAGATGGCTGAGCTCCGCTGGGATGCTCTTCGGCAAGCATTCAGAGTTATTAGACGTTTGTTATTAGTATTAGTAGTACAGTTAGTATTATTGTTAGTATTATTACTACTATTATTACGGTGAATGTATTTCGTTATGTTGTTGTTGTTGTTACTTTTTCTTATTGCTATTGT